AGCCTTGTACCTATCCCCCTGATTCACTGTTATAGTTATTTACACTGGCACGCAGGGTCTTGCAGTTAATATAAATATAAAAAAACAGGTTGTTCTTATACTTGTGGAGTGATTGTTGTACCACTCATGTATGCATTGATATTTTCGCTTTACAGTTGTGATGTGCTAAGATGTCAACGCTGACCGCAAAAATAAAGAAAGGGCTTTAAAAAAATAAATAAAATAAAAAAAAAGTAATTAACCCCTTCCCGACCCAGGACGGTTCAGGACCGTCATCGGGATTTTCCCATTGCGGACCGATGACGGTCCTGAACCGTCCTAACGGTCCTATTTACTTACCTGATCGCCGTCGTTCCCCCGGCGGCGATCAGCGTGGCTCCGGTTGTGGGGAGACTGCCTGCAGCCCAGACAGTCTCCCCACACTGAATTAGGACCCCTGTGGCCATGTGATCGCTTAACACAGCGATCACATGGTCACAATAGGTGTCCATGTGTCTGCCTGCAGGGGGACTGTCTGTGCTGACAGGCAGTCTCCCTGCTAGTGTAAAATCAGAAAAAAAAATAAAGTTAATGTTAATTAAAAATAAAAAGAAATTATATTTGTGTATATATGATATATAGACATATATTATATCTATATAATATATGTCTATATATCATATATATAATGTCATACTAAGTGTATTTTTATATTAATATGTACTTATATTAATATAAAAATACACTTATAATTAAATTACACACGTGTATATATAATATATATAATAACTATATATATTGTGTGTATATATATATTATTATAAAATATAAATAAGTAATTAATTTAAATTAAATATTTTTTTTTTTAAATAATAAAAAATTTAAAAAAAATTATATCTATATGAAATTTTATTCTAACTGTATTTTAAAATTAATATATATATATTTATATCAAAATACACTTAGAATGAATTTGTAAATATATCTATGTATATAAAAATAAATAAAAATAATACGAAATATACATATGTCCATATACAAAATTACATAAATAATTATATAAATATACACGTAGACTTCAAATATATAAATATGCATATATATTTAAATTCTACGTGCGTATTTATGTAATATTTTACATAATTCAGTAATTTTATTGATTGCAATTTGAGGGACCTGCCTGCCAACCCAGGCCGAAATTCCAGAGAATTTAATTTGCTAGCACTGTATTTTACCCTGTAACGTTCTACGACACCCTAAAACCTGTACATGGGGGGTACTGTTTTACTCGGGAGACTTCGCTGAACACAAATATTAGTGATTCAAAACAGTAAAACATATCACAGCGATAATATTGTCAGTGAAAGTTACTTTTTTTGCATTTTTCACACACAAACAGCACTTTTACTGATGATATAATTGTTGTGATACGTTTTCCAGTTTTTAAACACTAATATTTGTGTTCAGCGATGTCTCCCGAGTAAAACAGTACCCCCCATGTACAGGTTTTATAGCATTTTTGAAAGTTACAAGGTCAAATATATGGGTCAAATATTTTACATTGAAAATGGCCAGGTTGGTTACGTTGCCTTTGAGAGCGTATGGTAGCCCAGGAATGAGAATTACCCCCATGATGGCATACCATTTGCAAAAGAAGACAACCCAAGGTATTGCAAATGGGGTATGTCCAGTCTTTTTTAGTAACCACTTGGTCACAAACACTGGCCAAAATTAGCGTTCAATTTAGTTTTTTTACTTTTTCACACACAAACAAATATGAATGCTTACTTTGGCCAGTGTTTTCGACTAAGTGGCTACTAAAAAAGACTGGACATACCCCATATTGAATACCCTGGGTTGTCTACTTTAAAAAAAATATGTACATGTGGGGTGTTATTCAGAGATTTATGACAGATAATAGTGTTACAATGTCACTATTGATAAATTTTAAAAATGTATGTTTTGAAACCGCAATATCCTACTTGTACCTATAGCCCTATAACATGCAAAAGCAAAAAAGCACGTAAACACTAGGTATTTTTAAACTCAGGACAAAATTTTGAATCTATTTAGCAGTTTTTTTCATTCGCTTTTGTAGATGAGTAAAAGATTTTTCAAGTAAAAGTCAAAAAACATGTATTTTTTTCAATTTTTCATCATATTTTTTATTTTTTTTAAATTAAAATACATGAGATTATATAAATAATGGTATGTAAAGAAAGCCCCTTTTGTCCTGAAAAAAACAATATATAATTTGTATGGGAGCAGTAAATGAGAAAGCGGAAAATTACAGCCAAACACAAACACCACAAAAGTGTAAAAATATGCCTGGTCGCAAATGTACAACATCGCAAAAACAGTCCAGTCCTTAAGGGGTTAACTGAGCAGGAAAATTTCTAAAAATAATATATAAAAAAAAATCAAAAAAAAAAAAATCACTCCATCCCTCCCTTTTTTTTTCTTTTCTCTCTTTTCTCTATGGAGGTTGTATGGGTCTCAACCAGGGGAGGTGTGACTACGGCTGCATAAGCACAGCTATTTCACTTCTAAACTGCATATATCCTCCAAAATCAATTAATTAATTAATACATTTTGCTGTCTAGAAAATTGTTTAACTTCATTTTCAAACAGCCAGGGAGGTTTGCAGCCTCCTTCTGTTCGTACCCCTGTGCGTGCCTGTCTCCTCCCACACAGACCTCAGACCAGATGTGTGCATTGAGAAGCCCATGGTTATTTCCCTGTGAAGAGACTAAAAAAATGGGGAGAGCTTGCTAAGGCCTTTTTTTCTTTTAAGATATGCCACCAATGAATACATGCATGGAACAATTCATGAATGTATTCATTGGGGGTATATGTACTCAACAGTAAATTTTATTTATTTTTCCTCCAAGGGTTGCTGAGACCACAAGTGCCACCAGGTTCTCTGTGTTCCACCTGTCATAGGGAATCCCAGAGCTGTATGGCGTTGTTTGTCGATTGGAGTCGGAAAGGGAGCTGTCATTCTCCTGCTTTTTTTTTTTTGTAAATATATTTTTTTTACATTTTTCAACTTTTTGTAATAGAAAAAAAATGACCGCATGGACACGCAGGTCCCGTTGTACTCTGGTGTCGGCGATCGTACTGTTGGATGTTGATCCCATAGGCATACTGTGGTGACTCGCAGGTTAAGATTTAGTACAATTGGCATTCACATATTGGACTCGCAGGTCCTATACCTTCTAAAAACAGCAGATAGTACCCTCCAGCACCCTATGAATACGGCCTCTATGGTTCCCCAGTTATGGTGAGAATTTCAGGTCAGTTTATCCCTCGCGGCTCAAGCGCAGAGGTGGACTTTAGGTCTATGGTTGTTGACCCATTGCTCTGGAAGTCACATAGAGATGGTGCGGGGTTGCTGTTGTATAGTACCAGGTAGGGTCATTTTATTTCCTCCCCCCCGCCCCCCCATCTGAGCCCGGTGCCATCTGTTGCGTCCCCTACCTTGGGTTGCTAGACCCTGTATCTGTGGGGAGTCCTTGCTCTGGGTGCCTTATTGCCTGTATCCCAGTGCAGGAAGGTTTTTGGGATCTGAAGAAGAGTACAGTAGTGCAAATCAAGAGGATGGGTGGGGGAGGGGCAGAGGGGAAAGAAGGGTGGGGGAGGTAGAGTGTTACAAACAAGAACAGTAAAGTATACACACTATATAAAATTATATAAAAATCATATATAAGGGAGAGAAACCAGGTGTACCTCACTGACACCTAAATTACATGAAATAGAAAAGACAAAGTGGAAAACACCTCCCAAATACGTGATATTAGTATAAATACAAATAACCTGAAATATAGATAGTAGTTCATAAACGGAATCTGTATAAAGGATTAAAAAACTAACATAGCGTAATACAGTACTAGATAGGTGAGTGGTGTATTAGTGAAAATAAGTGCACTCACAAACAAAGCATGAAATCAGGCTTCTCACCCTCCAAAGGGTAGCAGTCTTAGTAAGTAGACAATCCTCCGTGGGATATATAAAAGAATAAGAAACAAATATAGTGAAGCATGTAATTACATTACAAAATCGTATTTATTGGTCTCACTTACAAGTGAAGAAAATTAGCAGGCATATCTCCAAATAACATGGAACTCCCAGAACGGTGTAAAAAAAGGTCCAATAGAAGATCCAATGAAACAGGCAGGATACAATTGAAATAAAATAAAGATAAAAACTACATACAAAATATAAAATCAAATAGCAGCATATATAAGCTCAAAGTGTCTATCCAACGCGTTTCGTCTGACAAAAAAGGGACTTCCTCAGGGATATAACTGTGATGACACTTCCAGGTATAAATAGGGCGATGTGCACAATCATACTGAATTCAAAAAACCCGGGTGTCCGGCGTCCAGCTGGCGTGCGTTTCATCCTTGGCACGCACGAAACAGGATACAGTCCTTGCGTTCCGTAAGTGATGTTATTTCTGGTACCATGGAACGCATATGTGTAGTTCGTACACATGCGCACAATAAAAGCGCATGTGTAGTATAAACGTACATAATAAGCTGTTATAACTGGAACCTGTAAGGGACAAAAGATTGAAAAAACGGGCGGGTAATCCGCCCAATGGGGCTGAGAGCCAGGTAGAACAAAATTATGCAAACAGAAAATAATAATAAATACATGAAATAAATTAAAATTAAAAGACCAGGAAAAAAAGAGACCAGAAAAAGATATATGTATATAACATAAAATAAATGTAGGAAAGAGAGCGCAAAAAAAGTATATAGTTAATTTGTATAAAATGGTACAAAGTACCTCCAAAAATGTAGCTGCTAAACAGAAAAAGAATTTTCCCAAATTCTATGAACAGAAATTTTTTTTTTAATTCTTTATTTTTCAGTGCAGTGTTAAATATACATTTCAGCATTATCACAAAGCTTTAGAGACAGGGTAACAATGTGTTTTTTAACGTCATTGTGGTATACTGCACTTTTTTTTTTGTTTTTAGTACACGAGTTATAGCATATTACAAACAGGCGTATCAGGAAACATGCTAGACAAAATAATCATGTCCAGTCCTAGCTGGAATTGCGTGTCTAACTGTATGTACTTGCTAGACATGTGAGTGATAATTGAAGGTAAAGATTGAAATGTGTTTGTAGTTTAGCTTAAGTTAATAGCTAGATGAGTAGCGTGCTGGTTTTCTGTTAGCGTAGACAACAATAGATTGTGTAACATATGGAGCTGTGCTGGGGTTTAAAGATGTTGTATGCATATAGGTGTGTAATAATGCTATACAGGCTAAACATGCTATCTGTGTGCATATTCTTTCAGGCATGACGATGGTATAACCCAAGAATGAAACTGCAAAAAACACACACACACACAAAAAAAAAAAGAATGAACATGTCCCTCTTACGAGGTCTTCGAGGTCAAGAGAAGGATGGTGCCAGTGTCCTGGTGCCGAGATGTTGTAGGTTGTGAATTGCTCTCCATTCAGCCCACACCAGTCAGAAACAGTCCCGGTAACCATTTATAGTGTGTAAAAGGGGGCTTCTGCCCCGGTCTCCCCCATCCGCTTGTCGGAGCTCCGAGTCTCTTTGACACTCTGCGTGGGTTTGGGAGAGGGCTCTTCGTAGCTTTTGTGCTTGGCGTTGGTGGAGGCTTGAGTGAGAGCTTGGGTGAGACCGGCTTCGGTCCATGTGGGAGTTTCGTGGTGATCCGGGGTATGCATTGTGCGGGTGTCGGTGAGGTGTCGCGCTGTATTATTCTACCCCATTGGCCCCAGGCCTCTGCGAGGGCACCTGTGTAGTTCCCAGCTCTTCAGTCCCTCTTAGTTCCGCGAGCGGTGTCCCAGCTGGCAGTATGCTTGGTTTGAGGGCAAGGTTGTTCCCGCCGGTGGCGTGTAGCTTGTATCCAGTGTGTCCTCCGTTTAGTTTTCTGTTTAGGCGAGTAGGTACTGCGTTTCACAGGACGTGGACGGGCTGTGGTTTGGCGGGCTTTCCTCCCAGGGTTTGCTGAGCAGGCTGTGGACAGCATAGCTGTGCAGAGCTGGAGCCTCTGTGCTCCATCTTCTCTGCTTTTCTCTGCGGTCAGAGCTTGTCTGTGTTCGAGCTTCAGCCAGAAGGCACGAAAGAGCTCATCTAGCCGTTTTTCAAGAGGTTCCTGTGGGCCTCCAGTAGGTTTTATTGGTACTATGTTCGCCAACTTCGCTTGTGTGCTTGCCGTGTGCCTCTTGCCGCCAGCTGCCATCTTGGACTCGCCATGCGAGGAGCTGTCTCTGTGAGGTATTGGTACAGGCTTGGTAGGCTGTGTCAGTTGGCAGCCCTGGTGTCTAGTGTGGACCGGGATGACCCCCGCCGGTCCTGGTGGGGGGGGGAGGGAGGCGGGTGCGCCGAGGGTTCTATGCGCGGCTGTGTCTTCGAGGAGAGCGGCCGCCTCTCCCCGGCTCAGTCGCTGGTAGGCCTCAGGTGCTTTTTGTGGGTTTCCGGGCTGTGGGGTACTCTAGTTTGGTATCATTTTGTGCTCCTGGGTGTCCCCACTCTGTCTCATACCCTCCAGCTGGTGGACGCACCGATTTTCGGGGTATTTACCCTTGTTTTTGTTGCGTTCAGGCAGGAGCTGGTGTTCAACGCGTCCTTCCAGCTCGGCGGTTAGGCTCCGCCCCCCCAGAATTTTTTTTTGATTATATTGTCAGCGCTTAGTAGATAATCCCCTTAAGTTTAGTTCGCGGTATACACATTTACCAATGTATCTGCAACAATTAAAAACAACTATGTAATGCAAAATCTAGCATAAAAAGTGTCAATGTTGCTAATTGTGAAACCAAACAAAGAAAGTTTTTACAATATCACAATCCAGTATACATGATATTATAGCAGGGTCCAAACTGTGGGGAAGTCCATAAAGTTGTTGAAAACACAGACTGGTGCTGGAGATCACTTAAGAAAGACAGAAAATAAACATAGTATAATACTGTATTTAATGTCTTAACATAAAAAGGGAATCCCCCTCCCCAACATAGAAACCCTTACAAGAAATAGATGTGGTGCTTATTTCTAAGGACCACATAAAAGCTTATCTGGTTGCAGTCTCTTCTGTATCCCAAATGTGCCGTCCGGTTTGCAGATGGAGACATTGTTTGTCTCGTGCACTGAGGCAGGCTGGATGTTCTGTAAAGTCCTCCCTTCCACAGATGTAACCTCGGCTGGCACAGGAGACTAGACGTATTGACAATCTCACCAGATGGAAAAAGATAAAAACGAACTCCTCATCAACGCGTTTCGCCCCTATAAGTGGGCTTTTTCAAGATAGGTGTTCTATACACTGATCGGCAGTTATATACCTTGCCGGGAAAAAGCATTTGAATCCTTAAAGGCATATACAACAATTTATGCGTGTTTGATCTTATTAGCAATTGATTATTATAGCAATTAAAAACCAATAATACAGCACAATAACTGCTATAAAAACATACTTGAATAGCTACACTAGCTAATGGTATAATAATCATATAACAAATAATATAAAAAAAAATATATAAAAAAATATAAAAAATACATAAACCTAATAAATAATTTTTTTTTGCATAATAAAACATATAAATAATATGCAATGATATGTAGTGAGTGTTCAAAAATGCAGATCCATTTTCTGTTTAGGCACTTCAAAAAAATGTATAAATACTTGTTTTATGTATATTGATTTATGGGATAGATAAACTGAAGAACACTTTAATAACATAAAGAAAAAGAAAGTAGATCATAGTGTCCCTAGACATTGTAATGCATGTCCGTTATTTAAATGGAATACTTTTCAAGCATTTGGTATAGACTCCATTCACTTAGGTTGGAGAGGAGGAGACAAATTACAAGAGTTAATCAAAAAAGAGGCTTTTTGGATTTTTAATCTGCAAACTTTACACCAGGGGCTTAATCAGGAAATTGATTTACAAGGTTTAATTTGAATTAGACTAATTCTATCTATACTCCTTTAAATGGGGTAATATGTTTTTCCTCTCATTTCAGAATATTTTGGGGTCTACATGGTTCTGTGTGTCTAAACTATGTTTTTGGTCTTTCTACTTATATAAGACATAATAAATACTTATATAAAACATAATAAGTATTTATTATGTCTTATATAAGTATGTATTTATGTACTGGGTATCATATGCACATTTACTATATGTGTATTTATTTTATGTTATATACATATATCTTTTTCTGGTCTCTTTTTTTTTTCCTGGTCTTTTAATTTTAATTTATTTTATGTATTTATTATTATTTTCTGTTTGCATAATTTTGTTCTACCTGGCTCTCAGCCCCATTGGGCGGATTACCCGCCCGTTTTTTCAATCTTTTGTCCCTTACAGGTTCCAGTTATAACAGCTTATTATGTACGTTTATACTACACATGCGCTTTTATTGTGCGCATGTGTACGAACTACACATATGCGTTCCATGGTACCGGAAATAACATCACTTACGGAACGCAAGGACTGTATCCTGTTTCGTGCGTGCCACGGATGAAACGCACGCCAGCTGGACGCCGGACACCCGGGTTTTTTGAATTCAGTATGATTGTGCACATCGCCCTATTTATACCTGGAAGTGTCATCACAGTTATATCCCTGAGGAAGTCCCTTTTTTGTCAGACGAAACGCGTTGGATAGACACTTTGAGCTTATATATGCTGCTATTTGATTTTATATTTTGTATGTAGTTTTTATCTTTATTTTATTTTATTTCAATTGTATCCTGCCTGTTTCATTGGATCTTCTATTGGACCTTTTTTTACACCGTTCTGGGAGTTCCATGTTATTTGGAGATATGCCTGCTAATTTTCTTCACTTGTAAGTGAGACCAATAAATACGATTTTGTAATGTAATTACATGCTTCACTATATTTGTTTCTTATTCTTTTATATATCCCACGGAGGATTGTCTACTTACTAAGACTGCTACCCTTTGGAGGGTGAGAAGCCTGATTTCATGCTTTGTTTGTGAGTGCACTTATTTTCACTAATACACCACTCACCTATCTAGTACTGTATTACGCTATGTTAGTTTTTTAATCCTTTATACAGATTCCGTTTATGAACTACTATCTATATTTCAGGTTATTTGTATTTATACTAATATTATCACGTATTTGGGAGGTGTTTTCCACTTTGTCTTTTCTATTTCGAGGTAGAGTGTTAATCTGTGATTTTCATGTCCGTCAGGTGAAGTCGCTTAGTCTATTTGAGACGTCTGTCGCTGCAGTGGATAGGATCCAGTGGGACCAGGTCTCCATATAAGCTGTTTTGGCATTAGCTGCCCCCATGTGGCGCTCCTCTGTTCATCTGAGTTCCTCTATTTGGGTGAACCATGTCTGGAGTGGGGGAGGGGGCGTGATTGCCTGTTTCCAGTACTGAGGAAGGACCTGTTTGGCTCGGTTCAGAATTCTAATGGACATGGATTTCTTATACCGGCACCTGGGGTTGGTTGTGTGGTGCAGGAGCATTGCCGCTGGGTCCAATGGCAGTGGTACATCAGAGAATTTCCCTAACACATTGTGAATGCCCACCCAGAACGGTCTTATTTTTTCACAGTTCCACCAGATGTGTAACGTGGTTCCTACTCCCTCAACGCATCTCCAGCAGAGGTCAGAGTGAGTTGGGTCTATTGGGTGCAGAAGGGCTGTTGTGTGGTACCAGTTACTCAACCGTTTAAATGCCGTCTCCTGCGTCCTGCTGAGTACAGAGCAGTGGTGCATGAGGTAGCAAATCTTTTACCATTCCTTGTCAGTAAAAGTCCTTCCCAGGGCTGCTTCCCATTTACCCATAAAAGCGGGTTTCTCTTTCGGGGTTTCACTTTGTTACAGGAAGGAGATCCTATGGGTCTGGGTTATTACAGCATTCCTCAAATGTGGTCGGTTGTCTGGTGAGTGCTCGTCGCTTGGGGAAGGTGTCAGTGAAGTTTGTCAACTTTTTATATTTAAAAGTCTGTAGAAAGGTAGGGCATCGCCACCAAGGAGTTCATCTAGCTTTTTACATCCTCCCTGGGTGTGAACGTTGTGAAATCTGGGGTTAGTAGTGCGGATTATGTCCCTAAAGGTGTTTGGGTCTAGTCCGGGTAGGAAGTCGTCTTTGTACGTTAAGGCTAGCAGAGGCAATGGATATTGTGTCAGTCCATATGTCACGTATGCCCTTCGCCACACACGCAGAGTGTGTTGTGTGAATGTGGAACATCCCTGTCTGTCCCCCCCTGC